CCAATCCCCAGGTGCCTTCCATGTGTAAATTCTTCTCTTTGGCTTCTTGAACCAAGTGTTGGTAACAATCAATCCATTTCGTTCACAAAAGTCAATAAGCATTTGACCTCTGTGATTCCGTCTTCCTAGTCCATGTGATCCAACAATATTCTGATATGGTTCATCTCCAACAATGCTGTTCCAGTCTCCCAATATGATGCTGTTTGTGTCTCCTCTTCCATCTTCCTGAAGAATGTCTTCAATTGTGTCATACACTTTTTCCACTTCATCATCTTCATACTCTGATGTTGGCATGTACACTTGTATAATCATATATATATATATATATATATATATATATCAACAGAATAATAATGTGCAACACTGAATTACATTATAATCTGTGAAATGGTTTATGAGATACATGGAAAAATCCATGTATGGTCTTAAGTACGACCGACTTCATAACTGGTCAACATGTCCAAAATTCAAAATGACTAATATTATTACACGAAGAACTTTCACATCAAATGCCTACAAAATCTGAGTAACAGCTTGTGATTAATATGAGGTCCCCATAATATGAGTTTTTGTTATCTATTTCCCTGTAATTACAAGGCCAAATTATTGAGGAACTACAAGGTGGTATCAGAAAGTTCCCCGACTGTTACTGTTGTAACTTCCTCGGTGAAAGAAGATGAGAGGGGAGGCCAAGGTCACACTTCCACAAGCCTATCACATCCGTCTGCCATGTGACACAATGCTGTGAAAACGCACTGCTTTAACACAAGTGCTTTTTTGACTTCGTATTTCATTTTGTCTGCGATGGATGGCAAAATCGAGCAACGTGTCTGCATCAAGTTTTGCGTGAAGCTTCGTAAATCCGCTACTGAAACCCCTGATATGCTTCGTGAGGCTTTTGGAGAACATTCGTTAAGCCAGACAGTGGTTTTTGATTGGCATTTCACGTTTCAAGGTCGGTTGAGTGTCAGTTGAAGATGATAAACGTTCAGGGTGACCAAGCACCAGAAAAACAACAGAAAATATTGAAAGAATTGTGGAGAACTCATAAATGAAGACCGTCACCAAACAATCCATGAGCTCTCAGACTCTACTGGGATCAATTATGGAGTTTGCCAAGGGATCTTAACAGAAAATTTGAACATGCATCACACTGTTCCTTCATCATAATAATGCGCATGCCCACACGTCCCTGACAACCACAGAGTTTGTGACTACTAACATGGTTATTGCTCCCCATCCTCCCTACTTGCTCGACTTAACCTCCGTGATTTCATTTTGTTTCCCAAATTGAAAATGAAATTGAAGGGGTGACATTTTGAAACAGTGTCCAATATCCAAAGGAAATCGCGCGTGGTACTCGAGACCATTAAGGAAAACGACTTCCATGGTGCTTTTGAAGCAAGGAAAAAATCCATGGACTGGCATATACATTTCCAAGAAGACTATTTTGAAGGAGATGGCAGCCAAAATTGAGTAAGTTAAGACAGCATTTCTTTTTTGACCTAGTCCAGGAACTTTCCGACAGCACCTCATATTTGTAAAAGTTCCCTGCACTTCTGAGGATCACTACCATGGACTATACATTTCCCAAAAGACAATAGTTCCCATCTAACATGCATGAGCCATTCTGTCCCAGTCTCCTGCTCAAATGTGTGTACAGATGCACAAGTGCACTGTCTCCCACCATGAATTCTTTCTGCCATTTACCATAGACAACGATCAATGCTAGCAGCAGCATGTCTAAGAGGAAGCATACCACTTACAGTGCTGATGTGACATTATTTGCTATTTGTCACAAGTAGAGGCAAGCATTTACTATACATTGTATGTGTTCTTCAGATTCCTAAAACAAAAATCATACTATTTTTAAAAGTACATGTGAAATTGAATTAAAGGTCCCTAATTTGCTAAACAACTCAAAGGCAAAAATTACACACCAAAGGTGTGATGGGAGGTTATGGAGAGACGTCTGGCAAAGTAGGTCTAGGAATTATACCAACAACACATGCCTGTATGCCTAGCCCTCATTTGAGCGAAGGCTATAAGCCTACATGGGGCTATGAAGGAGATGAAAGAAGAGGACACTACCAAAATGATACCACTTGGTCTATCAATTGGCTGGTTTCAATACTTCCAAAAGCAGTATGGCTTCAGAAATGGAGGAGCAGCATGAGCAGACGGGTGGCTATTATCCTAAGCAGGTTTTTAATTTTCATTTCGTGCATCCTGCCGTGTTACAATATATACAACCTCTTTATTTGACCGTCACAACACAGCAAATATAGAACTTCAAGGACAATGCTCAGTTATAGTTCTGCTACATGTTTCAGCCACAAGTGGCCATCATCAGGCAAACACACTTCAACAATTGTACACCATTGAACTGCAGTACATAAAATTTGATACAATGTTATAAGTCATTTAAGATAATATGCACAAGAATACAATAAGTATGTTATTTAAAACAATAAAAAGTCATGTATAAAAACAAATTAAAAGTTGACTGATGTTTAATAACATCAAATCGGTCGTTGGTTTTACTTTTCATACATTTCTGTCGACGAATAGTAAATTCAAGTTTCTTATAAAATTGTGTATGAGGTCCAATAATGTTGAGAATTAATTAATAGAATAGTTGGAGAATCATCATACGGAGAATTGTACGTACTGTATGGAAAGTAATCAAATTTTATGTACTGCAGTTCAATGGTGTACGATTGTTGAAGTGTGTTTGAACGATGATGGCCACTTGTGGCTGAAACATGTAGCAGAACGTTGTATTTTAGCGTCCTGTTGCACCGATCTTCGTCCGTGATGGACGAAGATGGCTGCGGGTGTTGTAATCAACCCGCAGCCAAAAAGGGAACACACATCACGAGACACGATACACACGCCACATAAGAGGAACGACTCCCATAGTGGAGGAACCATGCGCAGGTTTTGAATTGGAACAGATAAGATGAATATCTTAACAAGATTTTAGTATACAAAAAGTTTATTATAACTGACGAATATTTTAAAAATACTTTTTAAATAATTTTACATTGACATAATGGCATGCAATGCAATAGATTAGTGTAAATGGAGCACCTGATGATGGCACTATGGTGCCGAAACATGTTGTGAAGTGACAGGTAAAAGTGGATGCACTGCAAGACGGACACTGTATATATATCATGGCTGTAGCAGAACTATAACTGAGCATTGTCCTTGAAGTTCTATATTTGCTGTGTTGTGACGGTCAAATAAAGAGGTTGTATAGGTTTTTAATGTAGAGGAAAGTGGGCTGTACTGGAAATTTTGGCTATACATTCCCAAGAAAGAAAAATCTGATCCTGGTTTCCAGCATTCAACTCTGCTTCTTGGTGGACCCACCAATGACAACAAAAAGCTCAAGCCCCTGCTTGTCTAGATGACTTATAATTGAAGGCAGAGGTAGGTCAAGGTTATTTATGTAAAAATTGTTATTTTAACACCGTGTCATCATTAGTTCAAAATCAGTGTAGGAGTTGAGTTATGGGTCGTTGGCAAATAATTTCTTATGAAACATGTCTTGGATGACATGCTGCTACCTTCTCCAGTTACAGACCCAAGGGTGCTACCCTCTGATGTTCCAGTCCTCATTAACCACTGCAGAATTTGCAGTTCTTAGTATCACAGCAGTTGCTATAAAGAGTTCTGGGATATAATGCCATGTAGTACAATGAAAGTTAACTGATGTTTCAGAGGAGCATTTTGCCTCCATCTTCAGAGTTGAAGAATTAGACAAACAAGAAACCAGCATGAAGCGATATCACATGAGGTCTGTTGAAAGTCAAGCCACATTTTGGATGAACATGTCACCCTCAGTGTAGTACATAGTGTTATATCCCAGAAGACGTAACTCTTCTCATTAACCCACTTACATTATTTCTTATGGGTGGAAATTTTGTGCTTAAAGGGAATTTAAGTAGCATTTTCCAGTTCCAGTTAATCACAGATAACAAGGACCCCTGTACACGAAAAATTTTGCTTTTGATGTTAGGTAAAGTAGGCATTCTAATGAGTCAATATAGTTACAAATCGAAACTGGCCATTAGCATTATGCAAACATGTGTCATACCAAACATAATAAAAATATGAATAACACTTTATTTTATACATGAAAAGTTCATTTATAATTTTCTGTAAATCATGAGTTGTAACTGATCAACATCATTAAAAGTCAAAAGAGCTAACTATCATTATGCGCCCACCTCTCACGTGAACTATCACCAACATTTAACTAACTCTTTGACATGTATGGAGTTAATTTATGACCTTGTGCAAAGAATTTTGTGTTGTAGATGAATATGGGTGAAAATCGAAACTGCCCAATAACTTTAGGTTAAAGTTCTGATGTCTAATTTAAAAAGAAAAATTTGTCCAACTGTATAGGTGCAGATAATTACAACCTCCATATAAAGCACTCCTTTAATCGGTGAAGAAGGCATAATATGTATAATACATATGGACAATCCTTCCTACTAACAAAGATCAGGAAGATCCTTACTATTGGAGATGTGGTAAGGACCTCATGAAAAGTTAAAACAGTTCCGTCTAGGGTGGTTGGTGAAGATTTTTCTTATTTCAATTATTTATGTCCTTACATGTTTCGGTCTTCAGACCCATTTCCACTGAAAAGAGCAGCAGTAAATACAAAGTCCTAAAACTGTGATTCAGGTTTTTATCAACAGCAGTACCAACTTCCAGTTCTTACTAGAGAATACTAGTTTTGTTCACTGTGCTTAGGAATTTCTAGATTCTACTAGGATGAACTAGTAGTAATGGATTTAGGGTTTTTACTGTTAATTTACACACCTTCAATACTGCACAAGTGGTGCAGCAGTTCCTATGTAAGGTGTGGGACATTCTCTTCAACAAATATCATACACATTACTAACGGAGATGTGAGAGTCTGTTATTTTTTGGGGTAGATAACACAATACATGAAATTAGCATACACTAATAAAGGATACATAATTCATAATAGCTCTTCGGTGATAATAAAGATGTGCGCAATTCGCCGAGCATTGTTGAAGCATGTTTGAGGCCATCCATGAGCTTGCTTCTGTCAAGACATCTCTTCATTTGCAAAGCTTGAATTTTAACAACACTCAAAGCCTCGTCCAATAGCCTTTCCTGCTCTTCAACAGGAGACAGCTGGGGCGTCATTGGCTGTAACAGCAGGAAAATCTGAATTTAAAAAATAAACGTAACCAATTTACACTACATATGGGACCAGCATACCATAACCTAAATCAAGTTTGACAGAAAATATAAACTGTAACACGCCCCGCACTGAAATTATACAACACGTTGGTAAAACTAAATGTACCTACAACCACTAACACAATATTATACTCAATTAAGTCATACAAATTTAATTTTACCATTTTCTTAATATTCCAGCCGCAAACAACTAGTCCTATAATGCCTGACCCAGCATTCACATCCGTTTCCGGTCTTACCACCAATACAAACGCCCCATACGCCCTTCCGTCCTGGAGCAACTATACTGCCACCTATGATTTGCATTAGGAATGACATTTGGTGCACGTGTTCTGAGCATTACGTACGAACCATATGAACCGATTTGGCGTAGTTCCATTCGAACGGTTGGCGTAAGCTTGCGTTCATGAATGGGAAGAGTGGTGCGGAGCGGTATGGAACCACGTTTCCAGCGTCTGTCTGCGCTGCGTACTAACCGTTTACCAAAGTAACACATATTGCGTTCATAGATGGCGGCTAAATACGCTGATATAGAATACACGGGGATATGCATGAAGCAGTCAGTGGCGGAGCGCGGCCTTTTTAGAAGTGTTAGCAATTAACGAGAGACAGGGATGTCCTGAAAATTTTGACAATTAAGTATGAATATTGTACTAGACAACTGTGCAAACTTGAGGAAAAATACGCTATTAAATTAAGGAATAAAAAAGAACACAATGTAAATGAAGTACAAAGGTTATCGACTTCTGTGCTTACCTTTTCTCATTAACACACTGTACTTCAGTTCCTTGCAACGATTTCTTTTTCCGTAAAATTACATATCACAGAGTCACAGAAATTCGGATTATTTTCTGAGTCTTGAAAAATCGTCTTCTCATTGCAAGTAATAACAGCTTATTGAGTCCCTCCTGAGTCTGCGTGCTGGGTAGGTAATTCTGAATCTTCTTCAAAGCAGAAAATGACAGCTCGACAGACGCACTGGCTGTTGTTGGAATAGTCAACAACGCAAGCAACTGAAGTGTGTTAATATTCCTGGCTTAGCCAACGTGATAATTTCGAATGTCATGGGCACATTTCCCCCTCAAACCTATATTATACTCTGTCTATCCTAATTGCGCCTGTGCTCCAAACGTTAGCATAAGCCGGCCGGAGGAAGTGGCTAATAATGTCTGTGACGGGTTCTCTGGACGAGGCTGACAATGAATTATCCTACCGCTTTTACTGTAAGCATCTAGACTTTATATGCCAGTACTTCAAAAACAAAATCAGAAGTTTTGCTTTCGTGGCACTACTGAACTACAAAAGCAAAACTTAGTGATTTTGTTTTTGAAGTACAAGTCGGGCTATCATGAACTAGAAACAGTCGAGTCGAGTCTTACTTTACGACCGACGGTGAGTGAGTCTGCCAGTGTTTCTTAGAATAAAGCACATATCTAGGTCTTACGGCCAAATTTTTATTACTGTCAGACATTTGCTGGTTTGTTGATGTGGAGCGCATTCTCTGATAGGACGATGGGCCTGTCGTTTACAATTGCTGCTGGTCCTCGTCAGCGTAGTCATTCTTGGGTCCGAGTCCCGTGAGACTTGCGACCATATTTTACTGTGTCAAATTCGAGACTTCCTTTCTTGTCGCCTCCTACGGTCGCAGGACTACGGTGGAGATATTCTGTTTTGAAGTTCCGAAGTTTTACAAAATTATGTTCATATCAGTCAATACCTAAAAGTGAGAACAAATAATAAAGTTGTTTTACAAGATTATGGTTAATTATATGCGATGTTAACCAATATTATTTTCGAAAGAAAATTCTATCCTTGTATTATCAAATCGGTATCAACACGAAGAATTCATGTTGCGATAATGAATGGTTACCTAACATATGAGAGTATCTCATGTCTAATTACCACTAAATATGATTTGTTTGAAACTGAGCATTTTCACGAATTGATTGTGGTTTTCCGAACGAAAGTATTTCATTGCCAATGCTGTTGTAAATGAAAGGAAGAGCAGAAGCTCTTCGGAGAGAGGAACAGGATGGGTCACTGTGCCCTGGATCTAAAACGAAAAACTGACTAAAATATGACAGATATTTATATGAAAAACATATGAAGTTCAGGACGAATTCCGTCTTAGGAGTTTTGGCGCCTTGTAGATCATGTGTGAACATAAGCAGAGTTATTAAAGAACGACACAAAGAAGTACAGAGATAAAAATTATTCTCGACGATGGGAAGGACTTCATCACCCATTTACCATGAAGTAAACACACAAGAGGTAAGGAACAGTACACAGAAGGGTGTTCTAAAATGAAAGAAATGGCATAGGGTGGACGGAAGCAGGAATTTGGAAACTAAGACGGCTAGGAACAGGAAAAGACAAGGGTGTTCAAGAAAGGAAGTCGTTATCAATGTCTATGTATTCCTGTGTACAGCTGCCTGATGATGGTCTTATGACCGAAACATGTGGCAGTATAGGATTGAAAATAAAACTGTATTTATTGTGTTGACGACGACATAATTTATATATATATATATATATATATGTATATATAAGATGAGCGTTCCCTATATAATGCCTCCTAATTTTTTTAGTGAAAAGTACAACAGATACAGAAAGCATAATAATGCAGTTAAATAGAGCAAGATTTCAGCTACTTACAGTTATTTTTCTACTTAATCACCACCATTCGTTTTGCACTTTTGCCGACGATGAACAAGACCCTGTATGCCGGGCCCGTAAAAGTCTGCGCCAGCAGAGGCTAGCCACTTTCTTACAGCTGCAATGACAGCATCGTTGTCTGGAAAATGTTGCCCACGTAGTCCATCTTTCATGGGCCCAAAGAGATGGAAGTCTGGAGGTGCTAAATCGGGGCTATAAAGTGGATGTGGTAGGACAGTCCAGCCAGTATGGGGTCTAGCGTTATCGTGTTGCAAGCGAAAGGTTGTCTGCTTCTCTGGCCTGACTCGTGAAATACGGGCTTTCAGCTTAGTCAGTGTCGTCTTGTAGCGTTCAGAATTGACAGTCTCACCAGACTCCAGGAAATCCAACAAAATCAGACCTCGCCTATCCCCCCCCCCAAAAAAAACGTTCAGATCACTTTCCCTGCCAATGGCTGTGTCTTGAACTTCTTTTTTCTTGGGGAATCCGGATGTCGCCACTCCGTGCACTGTCTTTTAGATTCCTGCTCGTAGTGGTGACACTACGTCTCATCTCCGGTAACGATTCTGTCCAGAAACTTGTCACCTGCAGCCTCAAACTGGTGCAACAGGTCCTGACAGACTTCCATTCGATGAGTTTTGTGTTCCTGTGTAAGCATCCGCTGGACCCACCTGGAACAAACTTTGCGATAATCCAGCTTCCCCAACATCGTTTCAAATGCATTACAGCCGATATTAAGCCGTGCACATAGTTCCCTGGTCGTTATCCGCCGATCTGTACGGATGAACTGATCGAGGTGCTGTTCATTGTGAGAAGTGCCAGCTGAGCACGGACGCCCAGAGCGTGGCTTGTCATGCACTTCATTTTCGCCACTGTTGAAACCAGTGGCGTAGCATGACTACCGAAAGCAGGGAAGCAACTTTATATACGTGTGTATAAATTTTTCCTACATGCCCTACAGTTTCTATCTTCCATTTAAAAGAAAACACCTAATAGTTTAATATGTATTGTATATTTAAGCTAATATATTAAAATAACACATAATTATCAACACAATTTTATAGCCATCAAATGACAGGGTTGTGAACCTGGAATATAATTAATGCTTACTTTATTGTTTATAATTCAGCTCGATTCTTCTGTTTTTCTTGGCAAACAGATCAATAACCTCATCTAGAAAGCTGGGTTTGTACTGCAGTTTGTTTAGGAAGGACTTTCCAATGTTCATCAAAGCCAGTGATGACAACCTATCCTGGTTCTGCGAATTTCTTAAGTAGTTTTTTAATCTCCTCAGAGCTGAAAATGAGCGTTCATCTGCAGCAATTGTCGCTGGTATTGTTAATACTAGCTCACATAATTTGAAGATTTGCGGGAAAACGCATGATAACTGAAGAGCATACATATATTAAGGTAAGTCATACACACTATCTTTTGCCATATCTGGGTCCGAAAACATTACTAGAAATTCACTCTTTAAGGCAACAAAGTAAAAAAGTGCACCATAATTTTCTTTTAAACAAGAAAATGCTTTTTCAGGAAATGAGGTTCTATACATGGGAAAGTATCTGGCATCAAGAAGACTCAAGAAGAGGAGCGTAGCGTCCTCCGACATTCTGACACACGACATCAATAATTTCACAGAAAGCCGTTTATAGGAGTTTTTTCTTTCTTCTCCACTCATTGAGTCAATGCGAATTCTTTTGGGTCGAGTTGTGCCATTTGAATCGAAGATATTTTCCATTTCACTCCAAAGGTGGTCAAATCCTCCCCTTAATCTTTGCATGTGATGCTTAAATTCGTCTATTTTGGTATTGCAAAAAGCTATATCAGA